CCAATAAAATCTCTGATGATCATAAAACTTTCTCCGTATCTTAAAGAAGTTGACAAACTTGTTTTCTTTTTTTTTTAATCAATATTTTTTTGTTATGATAGTGTGGGGTACAGTTAAGGGTTAGGTATACAAATACGTTTCATTCAGGCACCCTGTTGATGGGAGGTGTTTCCCCGTCCCCAGACAGATGTTTGCTACTGTTAATCCCATCTCCCTCCCCCCACACCATAGTTTCCCACTACTGTCAGTCATTTTCTTATAGTATTCCATTGGATGTTCAAGGTCCATTATATGAGTGAGAACATGTGATACTCGGATCTTTGTTTCTGTGGGAGGTCACTCAGTATTATAGACTCTAGTTCCATCCAGGTTGCTGCGAAATTCATGGTTTTGTTCTTTTTTATGGCTGTGTAGTATTCCATTGCGTATATGTACCACATTTTTTAAATCCAGTCCTCTTTTGATGGGCAGCACGGTTGCTTTCAGGTTCTTGCTATTGTGAACAATGCTGCGATAAACATACGTGTGCAGGTATCGTTTTTATAGAGTGATTTGAGTTCTTCAGGATATATTCCCAGTAGGGGGATTGTGGGGTCATATGGGAGGTTGATATTTAGAGCTTTTAGGAATCGCCACACTGCTTTCCACAGAGGTTGCACTAGTTTGCACTCCCACCAACAGTGTAGCAGTGTACCCTTTTCGCCACACCCTCTCCAGCAGCTGTTATTTTTTGAGTTGTTGATAATTGCCATTCTGACTGGAGTTAGGTGGTATCTCAGTGTGGTTTTGATTTGCATCTCCCTGATGATTAGTGAGGTTGAACATTTCTTTGTATGTCTGTTGGCTGCTCGGATGTCTTCCTTTGTGAAGTGTCTGTTCATATCTTTTGCCATTTTATAATGGGGTTGTTTGTTTTTTCTTATTAAACTGACAAGCTTCTGCAAAGCCAAAGAAACCATCAAGAGAGCAGGGAGACAGCCTACAGACTGGGAAAAAGTATTTGCCAACACCAGGTCTGACAAAGGCTTAACATCTTGGATCTACAAGGAACTTAAATGTGCTGAAAAGAAAAAACAAACTTGTTTTCTAAGTAAACGGTTGCTAGACTCTTTTAGCCTACAAGAACTTTGCGTGAATGTCCTACTTGGAGCAGCTTCAGAAATAGTCTCAGTGCAATCTCAAGCTATTGAAAAATTTTGAAATTAAAAACTCTTTGTTATCTTTGGAATCTCTTCGAATCATGATGATGTAATTGGTGGTCAGTAGGCTTGCTAGAGCCGTTTGGGTTATTGTAGCCTTAGACGAATTACTTAACCTCGCCGAACTTAGTTTTTCCATCTGTACAATGAAGAAGACTTGGACTAAAAAGATCTCTATGTTCCTTTGAACTAAAACATTCTATGATTCGTAACAATAGCCATGTAAAGTAAGATCACAGACTATAGATCAAGCTGCTCACCTTTTATCTCATTCATCTCCTCAATGTAAAACGTTAGAGCAAGTGAATAAATCCTTCTCCATTGAATTAAGCCCAACATCAATTTTGTTTTCTTTTGCTTTTAGGATGAAGCGCAGGTATCTATTGGAAATCCACAGCCCAGTCGGCTTCCCTGAGACCCTCCTTCTAACTAAAATTAAATCCTTTAACACATAATCACATCTCTTACATTTCCGTCCTATAAAGCTTTTATTTTACACATTAAACTTAACTGATTAAAGCGCTCACAACCTCTCTGTGGGCTTTGCTTTCCCGCAAGTAAGACCTCAGGTCTTGAGGCCCAGGGTAAGGGGTGGGGCTGGGGATGCAGGTGGGAATAAGAAGGTGGGGACCGGGTGGGGAGGGTTGGCCGAGGGACCAGCTGAGCAAAGTCTCACGGGCGGTCTCCAGACTGGCAGACCCAAAGATGGAAACTCGGTCCCTCAATGACTAGCGCCTAGTGAGAGCTTAAGTATTGTTTGCGGAATTAAATTAAAAGAGGAATAAAAAGACAGGAGATCAGTTGGTGTGGAGTTTGGGAATGGAGAGAAAATAATGTGTTTTTTTTGGTAAAGTATGCCCACAGGCATGAATTGTCAATCTTCATAATGAAGATAGAAGTTACAGTTCAAGGTAGATTACAATTTTGATTATAACTTGGAAGATTAAGGCATGAATATTTCAAGTGGCAAAGATAAAGTATCACAGAGTTGTCCAAGTTGGAGGCGGTGCTCATGGATTAGAATGTACAAAGCAGCTTCCAGGTCCGGGTCACATGCATTTACTGTAAACGTGTTCAGCAGTTCATTTCCTCGCCATTAGGCTACCCAAGAAACCACCAAGAAATTCATTTGTTAATTTGGTTTTCCTTTAGTCTGTAGTCATTACTTTGATCCCACGCTGGATTTATGTGACCACAGAGTGCTGGGTGGATGTTTTAATTGCCAATCTTGGCTTGTAGCTGGCCCTTATCCCTGTTGGGAACATGCTAGTATGTTGCTTTCAAGTATTACTTAGATCAATTAATTATGGTTGTCGGAGCTGTCAGTTACTTACAGTGTTTGGGAATAAAAGCCATGCCTGTCTCTGGTGTCACTTATGTGGTGCGGGGCTCATTTCATCTTCTTTCGTGTTTAATTACCTTTTCCAGCATGTCTGTGATCCTCTGAAACCCAGAACATTGTACAGTTGCTGGTTGTGGTTTTGTGTTGACTGGTCATGATGCTTTGAAATGCCTTTCCCTGGATTCTTTTGTTTCTAAGGAAAGAGAAATAGTATCATTTTTATTATTTAGATGCAACAGCAGAAATAGTTTGGTAAAGACAATAAAATGAGTAATTCTTAGCATGTTATTTTTTAATTATAAGAATTAAACATAACTTATTTTCCCTTATATGATATGTTGGCCATTATCTTTTATCTGTTTGGGAGTTAAAGAGGAAATTGTTATGCATGACTCAAGTGCAATTTTTTTTCCTGTAGTTCTGACCTTGAGAATAAAATAAAAAATTAATTTAAGAAATACTGCTGCATCATTTGTCAGTGACATTATTGTATTATGCAATATGTATCCCACAGCATTACATGCCATAAACTTCCCTCTTGTAATAGTGAAAATAAGACAAACAAAAAGCAAGTAAAACAACAAATAGAAATAGAATTGAAAGTAGGAGCAACAATGTGTCTTTAATTTTATGACTTCCTGGCTTTTAGTATTTAGGTCAAGGGACATTCTGTGTTTTGCCATTTTTTTAAGGTGATAAATAATCCTCTGTATGACTCTGCTTTTTGCTCATTAAGGCCACAGGATGGTTTCTTGATGCCTGCAAGTCCAGACCTTCATTGCTATTAAATCATAGGTCATTGTTAATTAAAATTCATCACACACTTAAGATGGACCTTTCACTAACTCGCTTAAAGATGTCTGTTTAAAGAGTCAAGAAAACCCATTTAGACCTAGAAAAATTGTTTTATAATTTCTTTAGCAGAAAAATGTAATCTTGCATTATTATTGTAAATTCCCCTTTAAAAATAAATGTGAATTTCAGTTACATAGCTTGTTAATGAAACTGGACTCTTTGAGATCGAGGACACATTATTAAGGCTAGAAACACCCAATTAACTTAGCATCCTGTTTGCTTTTAAAAACCTAGATTTTACAGTGTTAAAAAAGTCATCATTTGGTTCATGGGGAGTATTAACATTGACTTTTAGGAATCAAACTTTCACGAAACTTTAAAATTGTGTCACCAACTTTGCTCTCTTTTGCCAAAAGAGTCATCAGTCATTGCCACAAAGAAAGCAATACACTATCAAGAACCAGTTACTTGCATTTATCTCTTATAGCTGGTAAAGCCTGCATGATTAAAAATTGATAGCTAAACAGATCATTTTTTATTTTTATTTTTTTTGTTTAGCCTTGTGGGGTCCAGGTGAGAGTTTGCTACATGAGCGAGTGTGCAGGTGAGGCTTGGCTTCTAGCCGGCCCGCTCTCCCCAGGTGGTGGATCTGGTGCCCGGTGTGTGGCTATGTGCCCCGTCCCCGTCCCCCCTCCTTCCCTCCTTCGGCGGGGCCCAGTGTCTGATGTGCCCACCCCTGTGTATATGTACCCAGGGATAGAATGAGTCTTTGTAAGTTCATTCTCATTTAGTGCCACTTTTGCTTCAAGAAAGGCTGGTGTTGAGAAAGAACTTGCATGACGTGTAGGTTAAAGGAGTCTCGCAGCTGTTTATTTAGAAAGCAAGTTTGTCAGCTTCTTAAAGATACGGAGAAAGTTTTATGATCATCAGAGATTTTATCGGCCAATTGTAATTTGCTTCAGTTGAAATAGAAACGACTTTCAGAACTTAGGGAATAAAAAGGTTTTTACAAATAGTCGAGAAAGCAGAAGTTACAACTGCTTTCTGTGGAAAAACAAAACATACCTCTGTTTAATTTACAAGAAATGTTACTGTTCCCACCAGGGTCTGTTAAAGAAGAAAAGTAATCCAAAGCTCGTAGCATTGCAGAGACTGGAGTTTGTGTGTGTGTGCATGTACGTGTTCACATGTAAGTGTGCCTGTGTGTACGTGTGCGTGCACATGCATGTGTTTGTGCATGCGTTCATGTGTGAGGGAGAGTGTACATGTGTTTGTGCGTGTGTGTGCTTTTGTTTCTTAAAGTGCTCTTGGTTTTATGGTTCTTCAAATCCATGGCAGGGTGTTTTTCAACAACTGGTCAGCTCACTTGAGACCTTTTGTTCCGGCTGGAGGCAGAGGTCTCACAGTCTCCGAGGCCTCGCTGGGCCTCCTCCTCCCGGCAGACAGAGCTTCAACATGATTGATTTCAGGTGACTGTGGATCGTGTAGGCTGGTACTTGAAGCCGTTGGCCCCTACATGATTTGCCAAACTCGGTCATAGTGACATTTGGCGTGAGCTACTTTTCTTCAAACTCTGCAGTTAAGAGCACAGCACCGAACAGCAGCCATGCAGAGTGATAACCTGCATCCAGAAATGTGTTCAGAGGAGTTTTCCCAGCTCCCCGATGAGGTCCCAGGCAGGCAAGGCCTCGGGCTGTGGCCTGGTGTGGCAGGATGAGCTGCAGCCCTGGCAGCGGCGACGGGGTGACGGAGGGGCTGCAGCTGGCGTGGCGGTCTTCCAGAGAAGCACACAAGCCTGGGCAGGTGCGGGCGTGATGGCACTGCCCTTGCGGATCTTTCTCTCTGTGAGGCATCCGTCACTCCGGCGCGCCGGCCAGTATCTGTGTGGGGGAGTCCCCCATCCTGGCCTTCACGGTTGCCTCAGCTCACAGATCAGTGAGAGGCAGTCTGCTCTGACATCTGGGTCCCTCCATGGTGCATTCTCAGAGGCTGAAGGTCCTCCAGGCCAGCACACACAGGAGATGTTCCCCGGTTTTTGTTTCAAAGCAAAGAACTATGTGGAAGCAACCACTAAGCAACCACGTCAGCAACAGATCTCTCAGACACAGAAGCCTATTGCAGGAGGGTGACACTGGTGGGAGCTGGGTGGAAACAGAAGTTCTGAGAGAAAAACGAGTGATGTGAAATTTCCACCTTAAGAAGGGGCTGTTTATGCATAGTTTAAATGGACAGGAGTGGGCGTCACGTCACAGTGGTCTTTCTGGCTCTTGGATGCACTTTTAAAGGCACAGCACAGCTTTAATTTTGAATTCAACGTTTATGACATGCTGGGAGCTCGACCCCTTGGGCGGGACATCGTTGGCCATAGTTCATGTCTGTCTCTGTCTCGGTCTCTGTCTCTCTCTCTCTCTGCGCCCGTGCTTTGTCACTCTCCAAAGCCAAGTGTTCTCTGCTCATTTCTTCGTTTGAAGCTGTCCTTGCCGTCATCATGGCCTGAGACGGCCATCCTCCTCGGCCTTGACTGTCACACGACTGCATCAGTCGCCGCACAGGTTCCCCGGCTGTCACCCTACAGAGGCCCACCACCCCTAGGCTCCTGCCATCCACTGTAAGTGGGCCAACTGCCACCGGCGTGACACACGTGGGCTTATCACCTCTCCTGCAAGTGCACCGCAGGAGGCTGTGTCCTGGCCTGGGCAGCCTCACGAACCCGTGAGGCCAGCGTGGAGGAGGGTGTTCTGCATGCCTCTCCCAAGGCAGCCCCCACTGCAGGCCTTCCTGGCCACACAGGGTCCAACTGGGGCCCACGCATCCCAGCCCCCAAGCTCCACCTTGACCTGGGTGGGGGCAGCAGGGAAGGAGTTCGGGCTTCTGTTCCCCTGACTCCCGCTGGTGTGGCCTGCAGGACGGGCTGAGCATCTTGAGGGTGGAGGCGGGTGTTCAGCGCAGAGTACTTCGGGGCTTACAGCAGGCCCAGGAGAAGGTGGCCGAGAGGGGCTTCTTCTGTTGCAAATATTTGTTTCTGTGATTCGACATTGAAAATAGACACAAATAACAGCGAGCAGTGACTCATAATTCCAGGCCTCTGCTTTGATGGCACATTATTCATGTTTGTTGAATCATTTCATCATGTTCAGCCTTTTCCTTGGCTTCCGTTTCTTCCCAAGGAAGACTGATTCTGTGTTGATGACCTGTCGGAAGACAGCATGGTCAGCCAGAGCTGAGGATGGGCTGCTCTGCTGCTGGTAGACTCCCAGGACCTGCGGCTAGGGCTTCTTAGCACGGCTCCTGCCCCGGCAAGAGGAGGCCTGGGTGGTCTGGCAGAGCCCAGGCAAGGGCTGCCCTGGGGTGCGGGCCAGTTGGAAGAAGGTGGCTCACAGCCTCGCAGAGGCAGGCTCACTGCGCCCCTGGGAGACGGAGGGCCTGTTAGCACTTGGCGTTGCTGTTTTGAAGCCCCCACGGGCTGTGATCAGGGCAGAGGCATGGAGCTCGTAGCTCTGGACGTTGTGCGTTCAGGGGCAGTCACTGCCACTGTGGTCACATGTGGTCACCCACGGAAGGCCCTGTGTCAGGGCATGTGTTTCCATGTACGCTGTCTAGCCTTGGCTTTCCTGCCATGGAAATATTCCTTTGGGCTGGGGGTGGATGGCATCGCAGCCTTAATTTTGCACCCAAGATGCCTTGGTGAGGAGAGCTGGTCGACTTGTGATCCAGTGACTGTTTTCTCAGTTCTTTCCAATGACTCGGGAGGTCTAATGAGATCATTTTAAACTGTGAGGCTTCTTCCCCTTGAGTCCTGTTGCTGTCAAGCACCTCTCTCCCCACGCAATTGAAAACGCCCTTGTCTTGCTCCTGGGCTGGAGACCTCTCCTGGGCTGGAGAGGGTGTGTGTGTGTGTGTGTGTGTGTGTGTGTGTGTCACCTTTGTTTCCCGGGGAACATTCTAATCAGAGAGCGTGCCAATCTTTCTCAGGCTCATCTTCATGAGCGTTAAAGGTTGGAGACGGCTGTTGCGGGCTGAGCCCTGTGTGTGCCAGGTCCTGCCGCAGCCTTGGTCCTTCTGCGCTGACTTTGTCCTTGGTTGCTGTGGGGGTGGGAGGCAGTACCGAGACGATGTAAAGTCATGCTCTTAAGAGCGAGGGTGTGGGGATCCACACCAATTACAAGGTATTACGCAAGTTCTGGGAATGGTATGCCTCCACTCTTCAGTTCAGAGTGGCAACGCTTCCTTGGCTGGGCTTTGACGTGGCCCAGGCGTGCTGTCTTCTTGTCCACCGCCCAGGAGACAAACCCAGGTCTGGGTGTCTCCCGGAAGGACAGTTGAGCTGAGAGTGCAGCCCACTGTGTCGGCAGAATCCAGGTCCACACCCTAGCCTCACCCAGCTCAGCTGCCCGCGGGTCCTGCAGCGCTGGAGGGGGCGCTGGGCCACTCACTGTCACTTCAGCCACTCATGAAAGGAGGATCAGTGGTGCTCACTGATGCCCACTGCAGCATTCATGAGCGAGCATAAAGCCCTCGGCATTGGGTTGTCAAACAGCATCCGTGCAGGGAACATGAGCACCTATCATGGGTGTTGCAGTCATGGTTTCTTACTCGTGACCTTCGAGCCTGTTCTCCAAGGCCGCAGAACCTAGACTCTTCTGCAGGACAGACCCAGGCAGGGATGCAAAACAGTGTCCCTGTCATCTATTTTGCACATTTACCATTTGTCTATTGAACAGAGTATTCTGTGACACACACACACACACACACACACACACACACACACACACACACACTCTCTCTCTCTCTCTCTCTCTCTCTCTCTCTCTCTCTCTCTCTCTCCCCCCTCTCTCTGAAGGGTGTGACACACACTCACATACTCTGAGGGGCGTGAAACACACACACACACACAGACACATACACTCACACTCATACTCTGAAAGGCATGCCCCAGAAGCAGGGCCTATGTCTGCTTGTCCTGTGAGCTTCCACCAAACATGATGCGTCATGAACCACAGATAAAAAATATACTAAAATAAAAAAGACTGATGGGGCAATCAAGGCTCTTGGCAACACACTCTGAAAAAATCTGAGGGAAGAAAACAATTTTTAATATGAGCTTTCTGTAAATTTTAGATTGTTTCTACAAAAAGTGTGAAGGCTATAAGAATAGGAATTCAATAAAAGTTAGCTATAGAAAAAGAAAATAAGGTGATGGATATCCCAATTGCACTGACTTAATCTTTACAAATTATCTGACTGTATTAAATTATTACATCTATCTCAAAAATATTTGCACCTATTATATATCAATAAAAAATTGAAGGAAAAAAATCAATGTGATATATCAATAAAGGGCAAAACCTACAAAAAAATCTGTAAGAATTGGGGGATTTGGCATAATTCGAGGGAATTTTACATGAAACACAGGTACATTTCTGAGTATTCTAATGATCTATAACATTTAATATGCTATTGAGTCTCTTGGCCTTAAGTATTGATATCCTATATCCTTTAATATGTTAATTGATCCTCTTATCTCTTAATTAAGCTTCACTCATGTCTGTCCTGGGAAACACCTATCATGTATTGAGTTGTTTTTCTTCTCCAAACAAGTTAACTGTGTGAGTTTTTACTACACTTTGCTGTGGGGTGCGGATGTCATCATAATATACCAGGGATTAGCAGTCACATGTATGTGCAGTCATACATACATACATAGATATAATGGCATGTGTTGTATGTACACACTTATAAAATGAGAATGTGTTAATTTTATTGAGTTTTCAGTTAAAAATATATGCATAAACTAAATTGAAATTTGTCATCCTAAAAATTAAAATATAAATTAATTGATAAAGGGATGTTTTAGTTAGCCATAGAAATTTGGAGTATAGTCATGTAAGGATCCAAGATTGGTTTTGAGTCAAATACGAATTTGGAATGATCACATTTTTAACTGATGAAACAGGTTTTGTGTGAGACCGAGTACTTCTCACCTGCTTCAGCCTTTTTTTTTTTTTTTTTTTTTTGAGTTGGAGTCTCACTCTGTCGCCCAGGCTGGAGTGCAGTGGCATGCTCACAGTCATCTCTGCATCGACCAACTGGGCTGCAGCAATCCTTTCACCTCAGCCTTCCAAGTAGCTGGAATTAAAGGCATGTGCTACCATGCCCAGCTAATTTTTTGATTTATTGTAGAGATGGGGTCTTGCCAAGTTGCCCAGGCTGGTCTCGAACGCATGGGCTCAGGTGATCCTATCACCTTGGCCTCCCAAAGTGCTGGGATTTTAGGCTTGAGCCACCATGCCTGGCCTGCTTTAGACTTTTTGAAATAGGAATGGTCGTTTTCCCGTCCTCCTCTTAGGGCTTTCCTTGTGCACGTCCCTCTATCCTCCTGGAGCTTAGAGACGCATGTTTGGCTGCTCAAGCTCCAGGCCTGGGTGTGACGATCTGCATTGCTCTGCCAGCCTCAGCCCTCCCGAGGCCTTTCTGGGCTTGGTCAGCCCTGTCCCCTCCACGTCCATCCTAGTGTCGCCCGGTGAGCCTGAACCATCTCCTTGGCCTCTGAGTGTCCTCCTCTCTGGCCTCCCCTCTTCCCTCATGTTTTTCATGCTGTCCGCAGTACTGCTGGAAGGGGCATCGGCAGGGTGCCTTCGTGGTCATGGCACTCTGCCTGCCTCCGTGGCCTCACACGGAGTGGGTCTCGTCATGGCCATGCGGTGACCCTGGTCTCCCTGCCAGCTGGTGCCACACAGGGCCAAGACCGTGAAAGTCCAGCCGGGTCTCCCTTGGGGGGTCTCATCCCCCGCCCGCCTTCCCCAGGAGTTTCCCGCATCAGGCTTCAGCCGGCCGCCTCCTGGGTTGCCCCTCCACTCTAGGTGAGGGTCACCCTCCTACTGCAGCATGTGGCCCCTGCCCTCCTGGCACGTGTCACGGCTGTCACTGTGTGCACGTGTGTGTTTGAATGCTGGCTCCCTAGCCCATCCCTCCAGTGCCACGCATGCGGGGATTCCTGAGCCACCTCAAGCCACCGCGTTACTTGCACCGGTCTCATGGAGATCGGAGTCCGTGTCCCTGGGGCCTCCTGTCCCAGAGCTGCTCTGGGCCCTGCCGGGCTGAGGCCAGTCCTCCTGGGCTGCCTGCAGAGGCAGAGAGCCGGACATACAGGCAGCCACATCCTCGTGCGGAGGGCTGTGGTGTGCTGCTGAGCGTACGTGCCATCTTAGTGGATCAGGGGCTTGTGGTCACATCGGTCACATACGTGTGCAGCCATGCACACCCACACGGATGGAGTCTACACAGAGACATTTATGAAGTTAGAACGTGTCAGCTTCCCAGGGCGAGACACTGAGTAGAAAGTTGGGCTCTACAGAAGAAAGAGGCCTTCTTCCCCATCCGGGGGCTGAGCTAGATATCCTCACTGCGTCTGTGTTTTCTTAACCCTGCCGGGCGACTCCTGAGTGTGACTTTTGCTCTGGCACTTGAAACCCTCGTCAATGGCAGGCTTTGTCCCTTGCATTTGTGCTGGCAGCTGAGAAATCTGGCAGTTCCTTGCAGAGTGACTAATGGCAATACTTCTTTGCAGATGTCATGCGCCATATAAACGGCAGGTCCTGTGTAAACATTAACTAATTAGCTTTCATAATAACTATCAGGACAGCGCAAAACTCTGTTTTGTATGGGAATAACGGGGTCCTTGTGAGCCTCAAAGTCACAGAACAGTGAAAGCCTGTCGTGACTCCGAAGTGCTTGACTTGTGTTCTGATTCATAAATATGTCGACAAATAATACCATAGAAAGTATAAATGCTGATTTTTCATTAATAAATCCGTTTCAAAGTGTGTGAAATGCGAACTCTAGTAAGTTACTGACGCGCAGGTGGAGCGTGTGGTTTTTCTCCGGAATGCCTCGCGGGTGATGACCTACATCCAGCAAGTTGACCTTCATTCTGTCCTGCGGACTTAGTGCCCCTTTCATAACCCCTGGGAGCATCGCACGCGTTGATGTATCCTGAGGGTGTCCACGTTCCCGCAGAATGGGAACGTGCTTCAAGCTGAGCATCAAACCCTGGAAGATGCCCTTGGTTCTCGGCCCCACGGAGGCCCGAGGCAGGCAGCTGGGTTGAAGTTAGCTGCTTCTCTGTTGCACAGTGTCCAGAGGAACCAACATGTGCTTGAGTTCTGACGGTGGCTTCTCACCCTGTGTGGACAGGCTTGGAGTTATTGTCAGTTAAGGACGAGTGTCATTTGACGTTCGCCCACTATAGAAGCTTTTCTGAATGTGTAATTTTTGGAACGAAAGAACTTGCTTTCGAGGGTGGAACATAAGAGCCTTGTGAAGTCTTCAAAAACTCTACTAGTTAAGAAAACGAGGACGTCTACCCGCATATTTTCCTGCAGGGTTATAACCAAAGTATAATTTGTGGTTTAAAAATAAAATTACATGATATAAAAAAACACAAGTGGAAGATGACATAACAATTGAAGAATATCCATAGCTATAGTCATTGCCCATTTAAAAAACAAGTACATGTCCTTTAGGAAACCGTCATGACTAAATCATAACTTTAACAGAATTGCTCTCAGTGTACAAGTGTTTTTTAAAACCGAGTCCCTGAACTTTAGGAGATGATGGTGTAGGATGGATTGTACTTCGTGGAATATTATTTTGTACTTTGTCATTTTGGTTTTTCTCTTCGGGGGGTTCAGTTATCTTTCTGTGCATCCATCCTTTTTGTTCGAATGGCTTTCAAAGTTTGGAATTGTTAGTTTATTTTACTAAATATTAAGGCATTTTGAACACATTTGTACAAAGAATAGCACTTTTGTTTTTATGGGTAACGCTTTCAGCTAAAATGTAAGAAAACATACGAGGGGGGGCAAAATTCCGGCCTGATCTTATGAAGGGCGGGCCCTGTCCCGGCTTCCTTCACCAAGTAAGTGTTCTAGGAACCCGTTGGCATCAGTGAAGCAGTTAGCATTGCTTTGAGAGGCTGTGTTTGACTTTGATGAATTTCTTTGAGATTCTTTCGATGTGTCTGCCCATTTCGTGATGGATAATTCATGAACACACCTGCCCACACTGTGCTGAGTATTCAGCAGTTTTTACCAAAGACGGCATGACCCCCGTGTTCCACCCCCCTTGTTCACCCTGTCTCGCCCTGAGAGACTTTTTTTATTTCCCTGGATGAAGAAAGTCCTCAGAGGGAAACATTTTTCTGATGTGGAAGAGGCGAAACAAAAAACAGCAGAAGCACTCAAAGGCACCAAAGTTGACGAATTCAGAAACGGTTTTGAACAGTAGGAAAAAAAGCTGAATAGGTGTATTGCATCAGACGGAGAGTACTTTGAGGTGACTGAAATTTAAGCATGTAAGAATAAATATACAGGTTTTTGTAAGTACCTTCTGTTAGTTTTGAGGGGGTTCCTCGTGGCGTGGAAGTCTTTTTGCTATACGCTCTTATCCATCTCTCAACACATAGCCCATCATCTGAAATAACCTGCAATAAACCCCACTGTATTGCCTTTTCTAACAAGGTGAATATCAGTGTGGTTTTCTCATATCTGTCAGCATTTTATATGTACTTCACTGCAAGGAAAATACCGAGTTCGAGCATAGCTGCCAGACACCATGGGTGTGCTCAGTGCAGGTGTGTTAAATGAGAGAATCATAGGTATTTTGAAATTAGATTGATTTACGGCAGCATGTAAGTTGGCATTTAGATAGAGAACTAGAAGTGTTGTAAAAGTAACATATTCTCTACTTAAAATTAAAACTAGCTAAGTAAGTGATTAGTAATTTTCAAAACAATTGTAACAGTGCATTTGCAACAGGGCCAGGTTGTGACTGAGCTTCTCTGCTGTCTTTGCGATTATACTTCCTCTTTATTTTCTTCTCCGATGTATCCTAGTTTTTAAGGGTCTTGTTGATTTTTTTCCCCCTGTCAATAAGAGTATACTACTTGCTGCAGGGTTTCATTGGCAAAGTGGTTCTTTAAAGTAGAAGGAGTAAATGCCAGGACTGCATTTTTTCCCCTAAGATACCTGCTTCTAATTAAAATGCCCACATTTAGTTAAAATGCTTATTATACAGCTTTTCACTCATTTTGTGGTTGAAATAAAATAGTTATTGACACAAAGCAGCATGTCATATTTATTATAAACAATGAAATTTAATTCCCAATATTCTGCTGAAAGTGTGATGGGTCCTCTCCCTGGAAAAAAAATCTGAAAAAATACAAGAACGCAAAGTACAGTCAAAGACAGCTAGCTGACTATCAGTAGGGAAGTTTCTCATTTAACTTCTGTTACAGTGGAGTGTGAAGTATTAGTTGTATCAGTTTCTCATTTAGCTTCTGTTACGACGGAGTGTGAAGTATTAGTTGTATCACAATACTTGTGCATTTAGAATTGTGACCTCTGTTAAGATAAGACCGGGTAGGTGGGCAGTTGGGTAGAGAAGAGTCCTTCATGGACCGGAGATGCGTGTGGCTTGGCTGTAAGTCCTATGGATTCCTCCTCTGTGAAGTGAAAGGAATAACACGGCTTCCTCATAGGCTTGTGCGGCGGATTGAATGAGTTGCTGCTTAGTATCACTCCTCACGCAGAAATGTACAAGATGTCACTGCTCATGGCATTGTGTTATTGCTCTCATTATCACGACTGGTAGTGTGGCATGTTCCTCTCACCTGGAGGAGCCCTGGTGTATTCATTTATCTGGCCCACCTGCACTGAGGCCATTTGACTCCTGGAGCAAATGGCATGGGACTCCCTGGAGTCCCCCACACGACCAGGGAGCAGGGTTACCATCATCAGGAGCACTTGAGCTGACCAAGGCCGGCCGGCTAGTCCTGAGGCTGCAGGGCCGCGATGCAGTCACCCCACGTCTGGCCTTCTGCGACACGGAGTGGGCTTGTTAGAACACACCGGATGGGATAGGACAGTTGCATTTCTACAGTACGGCCGTGACCTGGGAACCAGGACCCGGTGGCGCTTCCTGGTCTCTTTCCTGTAACAGCACAGGCGGGGCAGCTTCCTGGACTTGGTCGCCCCACGTGCGGCATGGGTTCGCTGTGGTCTAGACTCCCGCCTGCTCGAGAACGTCGTGTCTCAGTCCTGAAGCTTCCCGTGATACCCTTAGAGACTCTTCCACAAATACTGAAGCCTCCGTAAGGTGTGGGACAGTTGCTGTTGCTTTTTAATTCTGTGGTGCACCCTATCTTGACATTACCCAGGTAAGTTGCAAAGATCACACTGAGTTTTAGAACTTTTTCTGAAAACGTGTTGACTTCTTTTGAGAATTGCGTTAAAATGGATACCAAATCTTACAAAAAGACAAATTATATATGATTTGTGTTATTTTAAAGGATTAATTTTAGTTACCCATTTTTTTTAAAGACAAACCTTCCAGGATTCAGATTCAATAAGGCTTATGTGTTCTCTAATTTGAGAGTGAAAAAGTTGAAAAGTTGTTACATTATACTGAACAACCTGTACACATAAAATAAATCTACCTAAATATGGAAGAAATATAACATGTTTTATATATTAGGGTGAACTGTGGCTTAATAGATTTTTAAGTGATATCTATTTGGATACACTATAAATATACACACGCACGCACACACACACAGGGTGCTAAAAAGGTGTATAAACATTTTAAGAAGGGAAAAAACTTTATTAAAATTATAATACTCAATAAGATGAATACAAATCACATTTGACTTCTGCAATGACAAGAGGTGCTCAGAAGTTCCCATCAGCATCTTCTGATGACTTCTGATGACAGCGGACATCTCTTAACATCACTTAAAATGTGTATACGGTTTTTTGGCACCCCTGGAATATGCGACTTGCTCTTTCAGAATCGTGTTAAATCTTTTTGAAAAGTTAGTTCTAATATTTTAAATTCTGTACTGTTCAAATCAAGAAACATTAAAAACACACACTTTGACTAATAGCCATGTTAGAGGAGAAAAGGAGAGTTTTTAAAGAAGTTCTGTGTTTAGGAATTCCCACAGATGCCATTTCTCTGCCAAGATGCTGCCAGTCTTTTGAATTTGATTTTTCTTGTAATGACTTAAATATACACATGAATTTTAAAAATTGGACAACTTAATGAAAAGTTCATATCATTTTATAATGTGACACATACTATTTTTTTTTCCCCAAAAGGAAATGTTCAGGACAAGTACTAGAAAGAAAAATTACTTTTATAGAGGAGAAAAAAAAAATTCTCTGATTCCTACCTATGTGTAGGACTGCGTGTAACTGTAGGCAGTGCGGAATTTTATGCTTTACAGCTGCAAAAATAATCACGTGGGCATTATCTAAGCAACAATTTTTTAACGATTACGTTGGTTAGTTTTCGTTATGTACTATAAATGGCCAAATAACATAAGAAATGGAAACAAAACAAAACAAACCTTGATTTATCTGACTTAGACCTTTGATATTTTGCAAGACATCTTATTACTATTTGCTGGTTTATTTGAGACATGATCTCAGTTTGTAAATAAGATATAGTATTACCCAGTCTGTTTTAAGGTTACCTTGCAGAAGAAATATGCAGATTTATTTGCTTTTCTTTGAAAAGTATTTTGCTTTTGGATGTTTCAAAGGTGTTAAAACTTTTCAGAGGTGTGATTGTAAATTAACATCGTGACCCAACAAAGACTCCTGCCGTCTCTTTTGACGGGCAGTTTGCTAGCTTTTGCTGTAAGGTTGACATTTATTTGTGGTACATTCTTAACACCCGATAATACTATAAGCTTGTAATAATAGTGAATGTCTTCATACTCTGTTCTTTTATTATGTGGGAACGGTAGCTGGAGTTTTCAGTTTAACAAGGTCGACCTGTGTGTCTATATGTTTTATCAGTGGTGAACAGTGTCGATGTCAGAATTACCCCAGTGTGGGGCGGTCAGACTCCTCTGTTTGTTTTTTCCAAAGATAAGGAAACGGTCTCCTCGGAGGCAGTGTTTTCCAAATATTCACCCAGTCGTGTTCTGCCCAAGTTGTCTTACAGAGATGTGGACCCCGAGTTGGGTTTTTTTGAGGAAAGAAAAGTGAAGAATTGCAAGAGGAAAATGTAGGTTTCTGTGAGTCTCTAACTTATTTGAGATTTTGAAGCCAGTGTTGAAGAGAGATTTTTGAACTAGCGGTTTGAGTATGAGTTGGTTGTGCTGTAGCGCTCCCTCTGTGAAAGCTTTCCAAATGCTATTTGAGTGGGAGGACATTCGTTCCAGGGCAAACTTAACAGGATCAGATATTGAATTCAATGGATTTACAAAGATAAATGACGTTGATTCACTCAAGTCCGTGCACTTAACATACCGGTACACATTTTATGTGCTGTCTTAAATTAGGCTCCTAAAATGGTTCACGTCTTATTAAACATCCGATTAAGGGAAATGGGGTGGAGGAAAGGGCACCGTTTCTTGGCTTGTGCTGGCGCGTGTGTGTCCATCCCTGTGTGTGAACAGGACATTAATGCGTTGAGTGTGTTCAGAGTGAGGTGTCTAGTAAACACCAGGTTGTGCTCACAGCCTACTGATGCCAAATAATTCATGATCTCTGGATCTTATCAAGATACTGAGGACAGTTTGACTGTATGAGCTATTTTGGGAATACATATTGGCTTATTTTCTACATATAAGTCCAACAAAGTAAACAGTGCTGCTTGTTCTACAGCGGGTTTAGTGTTACATCAGATCCAGGTAAGATGGCTGCAATGAAGGTCTCCTCTAAGCTAGAGGATTAATCGTATAAATAGGCTAGTGATAGCTCTCATTCTGGATGGTCTGAGGACTAAATGAGATACTACATACCCCAAGCAAAGAACACAACAGCCTAGAACATTAAAATGCGATGCCAACAGGGTGCTTTGATTCATACTTGTAATCCCAGCACTTTGGGAGGTGGAGACGAGAGAATTGCCTGAGCCCAGGGTTCGAGACCAGCCTGGCAATTTGATGAAAAATTAACCTGGTGTGGTGGCATGCACCTGTAGTTCCAGGCACAAGGATCGCCTGAGCCCAGCAGGTCAAGGCTGCGGTGACCATGAGCGTGCCACTTCACTCCAGCCTGGGCGACAAAATGAGACTCTAATTCAGGGGGAAAAAAAAGCGCAATGCCATTGGGAGCCCTCTAACCTTCTTGGCAATAATGGAAAAACACAGTGATTTTGACGGTAGTCACTGCAGCTGTGTCTAAAGTTTTTATAATTATAATGATCATATAGGCTTACACATTCATTTGAAATATAAATATCTCTTAGTTAAATGCGTGCGTGGAAGTATATTTTGTTTCTTTAGGATTTTCGTGTATGCATGTATCTCATTCGATCACAGGAAGCAGCAGTTAGATGTGTCAGCCAGGGGAAGGAGGGCTCAGCTATACCTGGTAGCCCACAGGTGGGCAGACGCAGGCCGCAGGCAGAGGCGACACGCGTTTGAGAGCAGCCCCCGCCCGCCCAGGGCCTTGTCCTGACCTTGGAGTCTCAGCTCGCCCTCCTGCGTGTGCCGAAGGCCTGGGATCTGGAAGGAGAGGGCCACTTCTGGCTGTCAGTAGCAGTTACCGCAGTGGCTCTCATTGACCTAGCTCTCAGCCTGACGGCTCTGTCTTGTCCCCACAGTCCTGCGGGATGACTTCCGGCAGAACCCGTCCGACGTCATGGTGGCGGTGGGCGAGCCCGCGGTCATGGAGTGCCAGCCCCCCCGCGGCCATCCCGAGCCCACCATTTCCTGGAGGAAGGACGGCGCCCCGCTGGACGACAAGGATGAGAGGATCACGGTGAGGGCTCGGCGGGGGTGGGGGCGGGGCGCAGCGGGGAAGGTTCCAGGCGAGTGTCTACCGGGGGGCGTGGGGGAATCCCAGTGAGCCTCTGCTCCGTGGCGGGCTGCCTGCTGGTCTCCCACAGAGAGAGGGAGAGGCCGAGTGGAGCCCCCATGCCCGGCTCTCCTTTCAAGGCCCGTGTCCCGCTCTCCTTGTGTGCACAGAGAGGAAAACGCGTGGTGTCCAGAGACTAGTAAAGGAAAAGCTGTCATTTTAGTTTTAATGTCTTAGAGTGAACACTTTTGTGTATGACTTAATTATTGTCATAACCCAGGCCTTGTAGCATCTCCATGTGTTCCAGTAAAAATTGTTTATTAAAAAACCCGGCTACATAGTGTGCTTCCAGAAGGCCTCTGAAGCCTTGCAAGAGTTTTGGTTTTTTGCCTCCTTGCTCACTGCTTTTCTGTTCCAGAGTTCGGTGTTGTTTCGGAAGGATAAGCTCCCGCTCCGAGTGCTGCTAATGATGAATTTATCTCATTACATAATAAACTCATGCAATGAGGCCGTTGGGTTCCCAGTTCCTGCTCTGGTGTGAAGGGATAGTTCTGTGCCCAGCGGGAAGCTGTGGTCTTCCTCTTCCTGATGTGGCGACTCTCGTGACATCCCTGCTTGTCCTGTCTCGTAAGGTGTTCGCCCAAGCACCTGTCGCAAGCGTCTGTGGAGTCTCTGCGGGTTCAGGGCCCCCTTGGCGTTCCCTGGGTCAGCTCACCCTGATGTCTGCCACTGTGAGCCCACTGGCCGAGAGTTACGGTGTCCTGGGAGGATATGTGTGCGCAGGTCGCTGCCAGAGGTGGGCGAGGACAAGGTCAGAGCTTGCAGGCCCCGGCAGGGTGTGTGCTGTTTCTGAGCAGGCTAGCAGATGAGCATGATGAAGCTGGTGAGGAAAGTGCAAGAGGTCGTGGTGACCAGTTGAGGAACCAGAAAGAGACCCGAGCCGTTTCCTGTCCTGCTGCGAGTTAGGAGCTGAGAGGATCGTTGTCATTCTCGGGGGGACCAGCTCTGCTTAGGAGGTGCTGAAGAGCCACAGGGCCAGGTGGGTGGTGTGGACACCTCGGTCCCGGGACGTGAGTCTGGAGCTCAGGCAGCAGGGCAGAGGAGCAAGTGCCTCCTTCTCGGCGAGGGCAGATTCCTCTGGTCTCGCTCAGTTAAAATCATCTGGGCAAGATGCGGGGCTCACACCTGGAATCCCAGCACTGTGGGAGGCGGAGGCGAGAGGATTGCCTGAGCCCAGGGCTCGAGACCAGCCTGTGCAACTTGGCGAGACCTCGTCTGTCCCGTGAGTCAGAAAGCGAGCCGGTGTGGTGGTGCGTGCCTGCAGTCCCAGCTGCTTGGATGGCTGAGGCAGAAGGGTCGCCTGAGCCTCGCAGGTCGGGCCACGGTGGCTGAGAGCGTGCCACTGCAATCCAGCCCGGATGGCAGGGTGAGACTCTGACTCAAAAAAGAAAGGAAAAGAAAAATAATGTTCTGTTCTTAAAAATATATTCTAGATGCCGGGTGCAGTGGCTCATGCCTACATCCCTGCACTTTTGAGGCTGAGGCGGAGGGATCGCCTGAGCCCAGGAGGTCGAAGATGCGGTGAGCTGTGATCATCCCGCTGTCCTCCAGCCTGGGCAACACAGTGAGACCCTGACTCAAGAAAGCATAAGAAAAAAATACATATATTTATATCTGTTCTAGATTATTTACTGGCCATTATCTACGATTGCTGTCTCCCTGCTTCCTGATTCCAACACATCAGCACCACGACTCCCCGCCACCCTCACGCCTTTCCTGGTTACCTATTTGTGTTTAATTAAACTTAGCAGCAAAATTCCCAGCACTGGACACGAGCTGAAACAGAACTCTGTGAGCGTCCCGCCAGAGGGCACGTGATTGCGTGGGCTGTGTGCAGACAGAACCAAAACAGCGAGGCTCACACACCGTAGGTTAGACTCTCACGAGTCCATCACCAGAGTGGCAGGGCGGAGGACTCCTCGGGGTTCAGTGAGAGGGAGCTTCTAGGAAGGCTCATCAGAGAAGGGCTTGCGTCCAGACCTGGGAAGGCTGCATGGGGGACTCAGCGAGATCGGGAAGAGCGTGTTGCAGGCGGACGGTGCACTTGAGAGCCTGGGCGGGTGCTCTTGCCGCCTTCGCGGGGAGCAGAGACTCAGTGCAGGTGAGCAGGGGGGGTTCTCAGGAGATCTGCGGGAGCTGCAGGTGGGCTGGGTTAGTGGGAGCACCCAGGGAGGGCTCGCCTCCTCCCTCAGTCAGCCGGGAGCATCAGAGCCTCTGCTGTCTTGTGAGCACCTGCAGGGTGGCTGGCCCAGCTCTGGCAGGCCCGCAGGGGCTTCTGCCGTCGGGGGAGCGAGAGATGCCAGGTGGTTGGAAGCAGCCTGTTGGGAGGGGCAGGGGCTGGGCTCTGGGCATCCCGTGAAGCGTGGCCGACAGCATCTGCTTGCCGATGATTGCGGCTGGTGAGACGAGGGAAGAGCCCGCGGCTCCCTGGATCTCCAAGGCGGGCCCTGTGACGGGAGGCCATGGGCTGCACGGGAAGCGTGGGCAGGGCCGTGAGCCCCCCCTAGACTTGGCGAGGCGGAGACACCCACCAGGGGTACGTCTGGGGGTCTGTGTCCCGCAGGCGGGGGCCGTGCGGGATGCGCGTCAGCAACCCCGAGTCGGGCTTGGGTGGGAGGAAAGCTGGAGTGTGTAGACACGTGCCCTCCAGACGCCATCCAGCTTCTCAGCGAGAGGCTGCCCCGGCTCCCCACGGGGGGCAGACCTGCTGACTCCGCTCACGGGTCAAATGCGTGTCGAGGAGTGGGTCTCCAGGGAAACCACACGCTCTAGGGGTGGGGCTTGCAGACTGGCTCGCCAGACCCGAGCCCAGAGCTGCAGGTGGAACTCCCTGCCCACGTGCCGCCTCCCAGCGATGCCTGGAGGAATGAGTGAGCGCCGCCTCCCTGTGGCACTAAGCCATGGCTGTCCTCATGAATGAGGAGGGGTCTCGGTGCCTCCCTGTCATCGGAAAGCAGGAGACAGGAATCACCAAGGGGGCGATTATAGGCAGCGCGGGAGAGGGGGCTGGTGCTGAGTTCTCAGGGAGAGGAGGTGGGAGGAGCTTGGGGGCCGAGGGGTGCAGTCAGTGGGAAGGGAGGCCAGCTGGGGGGCTCCAGGGGGAGGCCTGGCCGAGAGGGCCGAGGCCTCGTCAGGGGCGGCTGGTGGAGCAGGTGACACGAGGGGGGAGCACCGACCTCTGGGTTGAGCAGCTCGGCAGCTGGCAGATGTCCTGGGCCAGGGCCACCGAGGGGCGGGGGCCAGGTCTCACTGAACCGGCGCAAGACAGACGGCAGAGATCAAAACTGGATGTCAAGTGTAGACAACTCTTTTTAGGCTGTGTCTCATAGGGTAGATAAAAAATAAAGGTGATTGTAGTCTTGCGTTTTGACGGGTCTTCATTTTAACGGTTGTGTTTTGTACACGTGCCCGTTCGTGTGTCAGTGTTAACTTTTTGTGACATTCACGGCTTAGCATCACTACAGCAAACTTGAATTTTAAAAACCCTCAGGACTCCCAACTGTACCATATATAGAGTCGCTTACGGTCTATGCAGAATGTTGAAGTAAGTGAAGACTCTTCATTTACTTGGGCTGCCTTCGAGGGCCGCACTCGTTCCCTCCCCGGTCAGGAGCTTCCAGTCCATATAAGGACCACCTCCTGCGGGAATCCAGCAGCTTGTGGTGGTGAGGCCTGAGCCTGTGAAATGACGCCAAGCTGTTCATATATAAATAACTTTTAAATCATTTACGCTCTGCCAAAGCAGCACCCCACAGTAGACTTCCATATGCTCGGAAGTTGTAACATCTGAAACTTTAACTATTGCTGAGACCATCTGTGTGTTTTGTATAAATTATGACTGTTGAGCTGATAAAACACCAGAGGTAAAAAGCACACTTATGCATTCAGGAAAGTGAGTCGATTAAAAATCAGCAGTTTGGGCTCAAAATTGCTGTTCTTACTTAGATCATAACTGTTTTTGTTTTATTTTCTTACTTTAGGCAAAACTAAAGATGAAAAATTAAAACAAAAACTTGGAACATAAACAGAATTCATGACCTTTTTTCCATTTCTTTTTTTCAAAACTGAAAATAAATCCGTAGAAGATGTTGGTTACTGGATACTTCATGGGACTCTTCTTTCCTAAGCTTTGTATTCAGATGTTTGCTTTCATTTCTGTTGTTAATGTGCTTGGCCAAATGCGTTGAGTGCAGACAAACTGGAGATTAAAAGCACATAGTATCTTTATGAAAGGCAATTGAAGAGGCATGGTGATTGCTACAGTCTTGGTTATAGGAATTTTTAGGGCTCTTTAATGTGGTGACTTTCTTTGTTGAAAATTTGAAGTACACTTTTCCCAGCTGTGCGAACAAAGACACACCCCACAAAAGGGGAAGTGTGTAATTGAATTGTAGTTGCACCTGTATTTTTTGATGTTCTTAAGTCATTTCTTCTTACACTGACCTGGATTCTGAGCCCAATTTTAGATCCGTGATGATTATAAACCAGGAATATATAAATAGCATTTTCTTTCTCCAACATGTTAGGAGATCCCTTTAGAACTTTTTTGGCACGTATTTCTTAGAATCATTTGAAAGAGACCTTAGACAGTGTTTGTCTCTGGTGTTCTTTTTTTTTTCTGGACATGGGTGTGTAGATTTAGATTTAGAGGTGGTTTAACTGGCAGGCTGGATTAAATTGATTTACTTTGTATGTTTGAGACTTAGACATCAGCGTCATTTCTAATAAATGAAGTTTTCTCACGGAGATGAATCAGAGGACTGAAGTCTTCTTTTTGATGTACAAGAACTTTCATGTGTACCTCACAAAAAAGTGATCTGTTTATTTTATATCAGCACATTTTGAAGATATTGCATTTAAATCCAAGATATTCCATAAGGGTGAACAAAGAAAATTTTAAGATT